GTTTTTGATCTTTCAAGCTTTAGAATGGCACTCAGCGGGTGTTGCAGGTCATCAGTCCAAAGCAAATAAAATTAAACGCATACATCCATAGTAAAACGTGCCTCACACGGCTCCGGGGGGTGAACGAAGGCCTTCTGTAGCGAATCCATGCATTGTTGTAATAAAAATATCCATATTTAAAAACTTATAAACACGTTTCTGTCACTTCCTCTAACTGTCGTATGCGCGTTCACGAGAGAGTGCCTTTCCCGGCGGATGACGTAGGACGTATGCTTAGCGTGAGCAGTGACGAACGTGGAGGCGCAGAGAAGAGGACACAGCAAAACAGCAGTTGTGATTTAGAAGTACAACAGCAAAGAAAAACCACCTGAATAAGTCAAATTTTTTGTTAGCTGTACTCTAATTTTTATAATTTATAAAATGGTGTTTTTGTGTGTATATCCAGGATGCTTTAGCAGAGCTAAACCCTTAAGATTACGTTCGAAAAAATCAAGGGGAGATTCGCCAGTAAAATTTCACACATTCCCTGTAAATGATCCTGAGCGTCTGAAGCTATGGCTGATCGCTATTCGTTGGGATGTAAATACACCAAAGGAAAAACTGTATAGACGCGTGCTGTGCAGTGAACATTTCAGCTCCGAGGATTATAGAGAAAGAAAGGGAAAGACAGGAAAATATCTGAAACTGTCAGCTGTGCCTGTGCCTGCGATGATGTTTCAGCCAAATGAGGTATGTATTCAAGTGTAATGGAATATGATTTGTTTTATGTTTTTTAAAATTAATGTATAATGTAACTACATTACAGGCACATTTATTTTAAATATTAGTATTCTTAAAGTACAGGTACATTTATTTTAAATATTAGTCTTCTTAACCTGTACATGCAATGTAACATCAAACTATGTAATGGATTGTTGTAGGACACAACAAGGGATCCTGCACAGTCAAGTTTGCCGGCTACAGGGGAAGATGACGAGACCGATGTCCAGTGTGCAGCAGCATTTATTGAGGCTGTTCCACAATCCACTCTGGTTAAACCAAGAAACATTACAAAAAGCAACATTGAACATAATGAGGACACTGAGACAAGAGTCCTGTTGACGCTGACTAGTCCAGAAGCAGTTAGCAGTATACGTCCATCTACATCTGGGACATACATTGCTTTCCCCCCCATACATTCAGATAAATCAGTAAGTAGTCATATTTGACAAGGAATAAAATGTTTATAATATAATAAAGAATGACTTCAAACACTGTTTTTATAATTAAAATACACAAATTGGATATCTTGTCTGTTTCTTGTAGGATGAGCCAGCACAGAATCAATCACACTCTGAGGAACTTGATATGAATATTAGCATGCTGTCATTGGATTGTCCTTCAGATAAGAAGGACACAAGTTTTGTGCCTCCAAGTTCGACATCTACCTCTACTCCAACTTCAGAGGAAGACACAGAAACAGAGATGTGGAAAGAAACAAAATGGATTGTGAACGAGTCTAATATGATGGACTTGTTCAAAAGATGTCAGGAATGTGGATCAGTAATAAAAGAAACCCAAAAATTACAAGTGAAATGGGAATGTGAAAAAGGACACAAGGGGCATTGGAATTCTTGTGCGG